AATCTTCCTTCAGCGAAAATTAATTCCAAGCAAAAATAAATTACTGTAAAACATGTTGAAAAAGCCTCATAATATTTTAGCGAATTGCAGTAAAATGACGTAATAGCATAATGTTGATTTAGCGAATCTCTCTTGTCATTGTTGATATCCTGTTTTCACAATTCTTGTCCTTCGCCTGCCAAAACAAATGTGCAGTTATCACTTCCATAAAAACAAAGAAAAACTGTCAAGGAAGTGCTCCAGATTATTGTGTGTGTGTGGAGAAAAAGACGTTGTTTGGCTGCCATTTTGAATTTATAATGAAGTCATTAGCGAGATCTTAATTTAGCAAATTAGTTCCCTCGCTAAATTCGCTAAAAAGACATGCTCGCGAAAAAGACCTGTTTTACAGTATTCTACAGTATACCACCTTGAAGGAAATTATGCATGATTTAGAGGGCATTTGCTAATGGTTATGTAAAAGGCTTGTGTAAAATCACAAAACCTTAGTTATGTGTTACTACTGTTAATTGAATGGGATGGAATAATTTAGAAAGTCAGCATAATAAATGGTGCCTATTTAAAATCCTATTTCTCTATTGGAGATGTATTTTTAATACAATAATTGCTCTATTAATAGAACATGATGTGTTTATCTAATTAACAGAGGTATGTCTATGGTCAAAATAAGACTCATTTTAATCAAACTCACAATAAATGCAAATTTAGGTTCATATGTGCTTCTATTGACGATTTACTACTAATATAGCATTAAATATTTCAGCTAACAGTAGTACATTTTGAGTGAAAATGTTAAAAATGCCTGCCTAGAGAACCTCTCCAAAAAAGATGAGGACAAATAGCTATGAACTACTCCAAGTTAATTTTGTGTAATCTTATTCTCAACAGAAACGAAACCCAGAGGTTCGCCACGTTGATTTGGAAGTACTGTGATGTTTACACCTACCAATGATGGCTGTGTTAATTGACTGCCTGACCAACTCAGCGATGTAATCGTGATGTTTACACCTACCAATGATGGCTGTGTTAATTGACTGCCTGACCAACTCAGCGATGTAATCGTGAATTGGATTCTGCATTTAACAATGTTATTGACCACACTAGTGTGTCACTTTGTTGCCTAGAATCTATGCGACCTTCTACACACAACACACCACTCCAGCCTAGAATCCATTCTACATTCTACTGGCTATGTGCCATTTTACTCATGCCTAGGTACGATGGTCTGAATTTCTAGCTATTGACTGTAAATTTCATTATGTGATTAGGAGTGAATTCCCTGTGCATAACATTGAAGTTAAAAATCAAATGAATATCAAATGAAATGTAACTGCATTGTTTTTGTATGTCTGTCAATTCGACTGTTTCTAAAGTTGTTAGTTATTTGCATGTCATTTTTTTATGGCATATGGATCAGTGAATGTGATAGTAGTTTCCCCGGTCTGTGTCATACACCAATATTTGCTCAGTATTTTGCAATCATCAGAAGCTAAAAGACAAACATCTAATTCATCTGCCTGCTCTACAAGTTCACTGAGTTCAGGAATTATATAATTTTAATAATCATTGCAGTTATTTCATTCTAATTTTTCTCATGGGGTTATTCTTATAGCTCAGTCCTGTCATATCTAGACATTACTGATCTGAGACCTAGATTCAACATACCTAGACATCAGGTGTTTGATGCATAGATTCAACATACATTGTACCTAGACATCAGGTGTTTGATGCATAGATTCTACATACCTAGACATCAGGTGTTTGATT